CAGGATAGAATGGAAGTAGAAAAGAGGTTATCAGTTTGGAAGGAGGAGAGAAAGGGAATATATGGTATGGGGTTAAGAGTTTATCTTGGGAATAGATTGAGGAATGTGAATGCACTTAGTGCCACAAAACTGTAGGCTTTAAAATGATTAAAATGATCAGTTTTGTGTTATACTGTCTCACTACAATAAAAGCAAATCTATCTGGCTGAGCCCCAACAAAAATGCTGTTGGTCCCCATTCTCAGACTGTCTCACCTAGAACAGTGTAAACAGGTATTCTGATGGAAGTGATTTAAATGTTGCACTATATTTTTAAAAAGCCTCCTTCCCTTTGAGCAATGGCAGCAGGCCACGACATGTCATCTGAGTCTGGTCAGGGGTGGAGGTGGGACAGCTTCGGCAGTGGCACACACAAGAGGAGCCTGAGGTGACACCTGTAGGTGTTGAGTAGTGGCTGCATGGGTGTCTACTGCTTTCTTTTCTTTTTTATAGGTTTTAAGTTGTTTAATAAAGAGGTTTTTTAAAGAGTCAGGGTGTGTCTCATGGTGGCAGTGGGAGGTCCATTTCCTGCCGGAAGGAGGACAGGGACAGAGGCGAGTTAGGTGAGAACAATGCACCAGTCCAAAGTGAGAGACTCAGGCAGACCAACGCCAGCTCCCAAAAGGCAGCCAGCGCAGGGATGGTTGTGGCCTTGCAGTGACTTTTTGGCCCTGTGAAGAACTATGAATCTTTGGGTATTCAATTAGGATATTCAAAATGTCACAAAGGAAGAAGAAGATCTGTGTTTCTGTTGGTGGCTCTGTTGCATGAGTAGAATTTGGGTTTAAAAGGAAAAAGTGAGGAGCAAACTAGAAAGCTCTGTAGGTGTCTGGATGCTGTGTAGGTGTCTGGATGCTGCGTAGGTGTCTGGATGCTGTGTAAGTATCTGGGTGCTATGTAAGTGTCTTGGTGTTGTGTAGGTGCCTGGAGGCTGTGTAGGTGTCTGGATGCTGTGCAGGTGTCTGGGTGCTGTGTAGGTTTCTGGGAGCTGTGTAGATGTCTTGATGCTTTGTAGGTGTCTGGGTGCTATGTAGATGTCTGGATGCTGTGTAGGTGTCTGGGTGCTGTGTAGGCTTCTGGGAGCTGTGTAGATGTCTTGATGCTTTGTAGGTGTCTGGGTGCTATGTAGATGTCTGGATGCTGTGTAGGTGTCTGGATGCTGTGTAGGTTTTTGGGAGCTGTGTAGATGTCTTGATGCTTTGTAGGTGTCTGGGTGCTGTGTAGGTGTCTGGATGCTGTGCAGGTGTCTGGATGCTGTGTAGGTTTTTGGGAGCTGTGTAGATGTCTTGATGCTTTGTAGGTGTCTGGGTGCTATGTAGATGTCTGGATGCTGTGTAGGTGTTCTGGGTGCTGTGTAGGTTTCTGGGAGCTGTGTAGATGTCTTGATACTTTGTAAGTGTCTGGGTGCTGTGTAGGTGTCGGGATGCTGTGCAGGTGTCTGGATGCTGTGTAGGTGTTCTGAGTGCTGTGTAGGTTTCTGGAAGCTGTGTAGGTGTCTTGATGCTTTGCAAGTGTCTGGATGCTGTGTAGGTGTCTGGATGCTATTCAGCTGTCTGGATAATGTCCAGGTGTCTTGGTGTTGTATAGGTGTCTTGATGCTGTGTAGGTGTCTTGATGCTGTGTAGGTGTCTGGGTGCTGTGTAGGTGTCTTGATGCTTTGTAGGTGTCTGGATGCTGTGCAGGTGTCTGGATGCTGTGTAGGTGTCTGGATGCTGTGCAGGTGTCTGGATGCTATTCAGGTGTCTGGATAATGTCCAGGTGTCTTGATGCTTTGTAGATGTCTGGATGCTGTGCAGGTGTCTGGATGCTGTGCAGGTGTCTGGATGCTGTGTAGGTGTCTGGATGCTGTGTAGGTGTCTGGATGCTGTGCAGGTGTCTGGATGCTATTCGGGTGTCTGGATAATGTCCAGGTGTCTTGATGCTTTGTAGGTGTCTGGATGCTGTGCAGGTGTCTGGATGCTGTGTAGGTGTCTGGATGCTGTGCAGGTGTCTGGACACTGTTCAAGTGTCTGGATGTTGTGCAGGTGTATGGATGCTGTACAGGTGTCTGGATGCTGTGCAGGTATCTGGACACTGTGTAGGTGTCTGGATGCTGTGCAGGTGTCTGGATAATGTCCAGGTGTCTTGGTGTTGGATAGGTGTCTTGATGCTGTGTAGGTGTCTGGGTGCTGTGTAGGTGTCTGGACACTGTTCAAGTGTCTGGATGTTGTGCAGGTGTATGGATGCTGTACAGGTGTATGGATGCTGTATAGGTGTATGGATGCTGTGCAGGTATCTGGACACTGTATAGGTGTCTGGATGCTGTGCAAGTTTCTGGAAGCTGTGCAGGTGTCTGGATGCTGTGCACATGCATGGATGCTGGGCAGGTGTCTGGATGCTGTGCATGTGTCTGGATGCTATGCAGGTGTCTGGAGGCTGGGCAGGTTGTGTGGATGCAGAATATCGGCAGTAGTGGGAGCAGGGGTGGACAGGAGGAGCTGGAACTGAGTGTTATTTTAGCAGTGTGATCAAGGCAAGCATAGGTAAGGGATGAGCAGACAAAGGCTATAATGAATCTGGGTTCCAGATTTGGAGACGTGGACAGACCGTGATCCTGTTAACCAACAGAGGACACACAAGGGATTAGCAACTGTTACCTAACACTGTTTTGATAACAAAACTCCTAGCAAGATCCCTCAGTCTAGACTGAGATCTCTAAGACTCTTTGTGTGGTCACAAGATGTTCCTGTCCTGCATCTGGAATCCCTTTCCTTCAATAGGTTCCTTCTACATAACCTAGACGGTCAGAGCATAAGAAGGTCCTACTAACATTTAACCGAAGGCCCTCCTTATACAGGTGGAACGCCTACAAATGCTAACTTAACCTGTCTCAAACCCTTATTTTTATACTATGTGAAGCCTATTCTAACTTCAAATGAAAACAATGAACACACACATATATACACTCTTTTTTTATCATTTTATCATCTTGTGCTCTTTCCTAATAATCAAATATCTGTCACTTGACTTTCTTCTTAACTGAAATTCATTTATTAATTTCTTCACACACTGCCGTCTCTACTCTTTGAATGGTTCCATTGTAAAATTAACAGAAACAACTTCCTTGTTTATCAGTGGGCTTCTTCTCAGTCCTCAGTTCTTCCCTGGCCTTCTGTGAGATGTATGTCATTTTGTACACCCATTCTGAATCCTTTACTCTCTCTGTCTCTGTCATATAAGCTTTTCTGGGTCTTGTTCAGGACTTAGTCCCTAGCCTGCTTCTCTGACTCCCTTCTTCCTGTAGATCTCTGAGCTGCCATGAGCTCCACAGCCTTCTGTTTCCTTAGAGTCTCTGGGGTCTCTCCCCCTCTAGGCATCCACACACAATTTTTTCTGTGGTCTGAGCCAGGCCTGTGGAAAAGCCTGAGTGTGTCATGAGTGTAACATCGTGGCACCACATCACGGAAAGGCACAATACTTTCTCAAAGGGAAGTAATCCACACTCCTCTGGGCCCCTAGGGCTCACGAGCAGCCTGGACCACAGTTAAAAGAGCAGCAACAAATGAGCATGTGCCATGAACAGAACAACAGGGGTGGCAGGAGACCGACAGACACTGCAGGTGAAAACAATGCTGGGCTCGGTGGAGACAGAGTTCGGAGGACCCATGATAGCTTTTGTCAGATTTATGAAAATTTGTCACATGGGATCGGAGGGTCAATTTTTTTTTGCTTTCTGTTTCAGAAAAAAGAAATTGGGAGGAAGGATATTTTGGCTTAACAGGAGGAAGAATCTTGCAAATATCTCAAGTTGCTCAACACACGAATCATTCTTCTCTTCATGCACTGAGCTCCACGTACTGCTGAACATGTGGGAGAAAAGATGCCTGGGGAAAGGAAAGATCTAAGGAAAGATCCAGGGCCACCGAGGTGTGAGGAAAGGGACCAGGAGACTGAGTTCTGGAGCTGAGGACTGCCACTATCAACAGTGTCACCTCAGAAAAGTCTCTCATCTTTGTGCATCTCATTCTCCTTATACATAGAAGGGGCAGGTTAGGCTTGATCTCTCAGGAAAATGGGACAGAGCACAGTTGAGGTCCCTGTCACACTCTGCCATGCTCCACTCTGCATGCTCTCTTTCTGTAGACAGCTTGTCAACACCGAGGACTCAAGGCATCCAGTGTGGAATCTGCTGTACTATATAGTTACCTGAGTCTGTCTTTGGTAATGCTGCTCTGGACTCCTGGCTAGGAATTTCAGAGCACATATGACTCCTTCTTCTCTTTTGGTACCTAAGTTTCTGTCTCCAGAATGCTTCTTTGATTTACTCTTGATTCTTTCTTTCCACAGACACTATTACAACTCAGACTTGTTGCACCATACATGGATAAGTAGGCACTGCAGTTTTAATGGGGACAGACCCTGGAGAGATGTAGCCCAACTTGCCTCTGTTACAAATAATGAGAATGGGACACAGAAAAAGTAAAGCCAGGTGCAAAGTCACACAGCTAACAGTGGCTGCTCTGAGCTCCATGCTCTTTCCTTTTCCACCCACCACCCAGCCCTGAGGAGCTCCTTACAATCACTTCAGTCACCTGGTGCACTTCAACATGATTGGTTTTATGGTGATCAGCCATGACTTACCCACAAAAAGTGTGTTCTATTTATATAGTACTGTGATGGTCCTTGGTTAAACCATAGGTGTTAATCTAGGAGTTATCCCCGATCTCTTAATAGTAACAGAACACTGGGTCTGCTTCAATTTAAATAATACTGCTTTCTTGTGCTTCTCACAGATACTGCCAAAATAGGACTGCTGAATCGTGAAATAAAGAAAATTTCTAGCCAGCCCTAGCTCTCTAGAGTCTGAAAATGCAGGCCATTTGGATACTAGATGTATCCTTGTACTCCAATGAGTACAAAAGTCACATATATCATGTTAACTGGCTATGCCCTGATTACTCCCATAAAAGGTCCTGGACTCACGTTGGTTCTTCTGTTGCTATTCTGGTCTCTTCTAGTTCTTGTGCTTGTTTCAGCCAAGGTAATTTAGCTTCCACTGGACTTTTTTCTAAGAAAAAGGAACATAAACAATGAGCTTAATGACTATTAATCACTCAGAGGCTGGATACATAATCATCATTGGCTGAACATTTCATTAACACAGAGGTCATGATTTTTAAAAGCAAGTTGAGCCCTTTGGCATAGTACTTTAGGTAGCTTCTGGAATAAACATTTCTGTCATTTTTTAAAAAATTAATATATTACTAAATGCAACTCAAATAATTCCCATAATAGAATTCAGTGTGTTCTTGATATTCACCATAAAAATGCCTTTACAAATCAATGCCACTTTCTAGTTTTTGCATATTAATATCAAATTACTTTCTTTTGCCACAATTTGTTTTACCCACTGAATGCACAAATTAATAGAGAAGAGAAAATAACGTGGAAGTTAACACAGTGGGAAAAGTGAGTGCACCCATTACTATTGTCACCAGGTCTTACTGCTGAGAGTTGCACGTGGCATGGAAAAGCAGCTGGTGCCCCTTTCTGCCCTTAGAGCCCCTTCAGATGTGAGGAAAGAAAGGATTGAGTTGTGAACTGTGAAGAGAAATAACTTTGGGCTGCTTCCAGGGAAGGACAGACACTGAAGAATTATCTATTAAAGTACAATCAAATGTGGAAGAAACGAAAACAGGTTGCATTGATGGAGCTATGTAATTCATATGTGCACCAGTCAGGACCCCCCGTGACATTTTTCTACAAGATGAACATGGTCAACCAACCACTTGGCTAACTGTGGGGTCGTCTGTATAGATAATAATATACCCAGAAATAATAAGAGCCTTGCACCATCCTCTCTGGCATAAGGAAAAGTCCTTCTTACAAACAGGTAGGAATGGCTGTTTTCCATTGTGGAGAGAAAGATATTTGTCATGAGGGTTGAGTATTCCTTCCTAACACACATGGAAATCACTGCATAAAAAGCAGCATACCCTGGAGAAATGGGGTCAAGCCTTGCTATCCATAGCTCCTATTCTTCTAACTCACGTGCAGCAAATGGAGCTGCAGGGGAATTCTCAGTGCATCCACAGATCTAGATTGGGACCTAAAATCTTCATTCATCCCTAGCACCATAACACTGAAGAGGACATTGCTCCTCCTTCACGAAATACATGTGAAGGAGAGGCACTTATGGAACAGTGCAAACAGAGGAGAGTGCAAATTTGGGAAGGAGAAGGGCTGATTTGTCCTCCATTTCTTCTTCCTTTTCCTCTTTCTCTGCTTTTTCCTGCTCCTTTCTCTTTTTCATCTTCCCAATCTCCTTTTTCTTAAAGGTAGGAACTGTATAAAATAATAACTATTATTTTATGCCCACCGAGGAATGTCAGATCAATCCTGGATAGGTAGGAGCCACCCTGCACATCCTGAATCAACAGAAGCTTAATGTTTTCTCCAAATCAATACATCCCGTATTTCCAGCATTTTCACACAGATGGATAGATTTGTTGCAAACTCTGTATAAAACCATTTTACTAAGAAAACTGAGTCAAAACAGAAGTGGTGCAACAGTGGAACGTGAGTCGGGAAACATCACTGGATTAGAGTGAAACACATGGAAATCGTACCTTTTGGTTTGTAACAGGGTGTGGGAATGACACATTCCTCTTTGATGTGCAGCTTCAGCTGTGGATTGCAGCCCCCAACGTGCTCCCCAAGGTGGTTGATGCACAGGACGACGCGGTATCGTAACCCTCGGCCACAAGTCACCGTGCACTTGAAAGAGGAAAGACAAGCCAGTGAGTTTCTCCTTCGTGGAGCAGTGTACGAGGCCTTATTATACCATATGCAAAGGAGATGCTCGTTAACGCTATGGTATATAAATATTTAACACAAAAGGCCTCTGACAAACATTCCAAAAAGAAAGAAGACAGAGACTGGCTTTCTGGGATATTTGCATTTCTGGGTACCTCCCTCCCACGTTGGAGCCTTACTCCAATTCTCAATTGGAAAAGTATTTAAGATGAGATCACTGTGGAAGAAAAATACATGTTCTGAGTGTTATTTTGCTCTGAATCAAATACGTAAAGTAACTTGATTCAGGTTTTCACAAATTTGATTAAAAATTGACATGACATGACCCAAAACAATTTGTGAGACTGAAAGAAAACTTTCTAAACTAAGACTATAAAGAAATTAAATTTCAGCCAATCACACCAGAGAGTGAAACTTTCTTTTCTGTATAGATTTTGATCTTGCAAAGTAATTACCACATGAAAAAAAATCATCCTGAGCATTCAGCCAAACAATTCAGGAAAAAGTACTAGAGAAGAATCAGACAAAAATAATAAAACATTATGCCATTTTTCTGACTTTTGGTGAAGTTTACATTGTCAACATTGTTTTCGTTGTTTATGATTTGGAAGTAACTCTTGCCTATAATATAATGGTATGCTCTCTTGTCATGTGAAAATCTAGGATATCTTTTTCATTTATCTGCTCAATTTTTGAATTAAACTTTATAATAGGCATGCGTGTATATGAAAAAACAGTGAAAGCAGTCTCATGCATATGCAGGGAGGGGGCCTTAGCATGGAGTCCCCCACAGACAAAGGAGGACTAGTGTTCCAATACGCTGTTATGAATTAAAGTCCAGAATTCACATTCACATGCTTGACAGCATTTTACATGAAAGGTGAGTTCCAGTCTGCACACCTTCAGGTCTCACCAACACTGGGTCTACCCTGGGAGAAGCTGTGGACAGGCAGTGTCCTGCATATGTGACCTTTTCACTGATTGCCTGATGTGCACGTGCGAGGGCTCAACTAAGGGCCTGGCTGAAGGCCCATGGGTGTTAAGATATAAGTGTGGAATTCCTTCCAGAATCTTCTGCTGCTGAGCCCAAGACCCAGTCATTGCTACAGAGCCATAAGGTTTTTTTTTTGTTTGTTTGTTTGTTTTTTTTTTTTTTTTTTTTCCCCAAGCTCCTACGTGCTTTGTACCTTGCCTTTGGGGACAAGCATCACAGACACATTTCAGGAGGCCTTTCTCAGCACTCACACAGCTCCAGAAGGGCAGAACATTGGAAAACCCTCCAACTTCCTCATGTTTCTCCCTGTCCCCCAACCACCAAGCATTTCACTACACCGGAGTGAAGTTTGAACTTAGATCTGGTTTTGGGAAACTGGTTTACCTTGTCCCTGAATTTATAAACTTGAAATATGATCTTAAGAAGCTCTTTTATGTCAGCTAGGGAAAAAAAAAAAAACACAGTGCACAAAGAGAAAGCAATGAGATAAGATAAAACAATGCTGGAATTGGTCAAAGCAGGAGAGCACTGCCTCTTTTGAATTAGCTCCTGTGGGAAGCAGGACACTCACCGAAAGAGGCAGTCAGTATTCACACTACTGTCAGAATCCCCTTTGGTGAGAATTACTTCCTCAAAAACTGCAAGTCTTTATCACTGCGAGTTTATTTGAACTTTTTAAAAAGTGAAAGGTGTGGCGTCAGGGGTGGTGACTAAGACGAGCCAGTTAGCAACCTATTTTGATGTTTTAAGCAATGACAGAGTCATGTTAATGGGAGAGCATAAAAGTTCTAGGCTGACCCAGAACACATGGCTAGGACTTCATGGGTAACAATAGCTCTATAGGTGGTATAAGCACCGCTGACTGGGGCCAAAAAGTGAGAATCTTTAATGGCCAGGTAACAAGTACTTTTGCACTGGGGTGGTATCCTTTACGTTCAACAAAATTGTAAAAGGACTTAAGCAAATTATAAGCTGACAGATATTTAAAAATAATTCTTGGCGATGCACAATCACTTGGTTTTGGCATGTAATTCAGGAGTTCAAAGAACAGCATCACCTCACAGAAATAAAGTCTTTTTTAACCTGGCCTATTAATGTCAACAAGCTTTCCCGATGTGTATGTGTAAGACAACGTAAAACATCAACAGTGAACATTATCAGTAAAATTATTGCTGAGCCCATTTCTCATTCTGGTAATGGGCATATGGTTTACTTTTTAAGCTTCATTTACCTTCTAGAAGGACTTACTCCAAATGAAAACTTACTTGTCATGTGTGTAATAACTTTTTAGCAAAATTTGAAATACACTGATGTTGTTTTGATTGGATGCTAAAATTAAAATTAATCAGAGATGAATTCAATGGAACATCCTTAATACTTAGAGCCTTCTGGCCGTAAGAAACCAAAATAAATTAACTTTATTTACACATTTTCTTAGAAATGAAGAGTATAATCAATAAGGGATGGATGTCAAGCATACAAATACATCATATTATGATAGAATTCTGCAGGGCAGTAGATTGAGAATGTGAGTTCAACAGAAGAAATGTGAAAATGCTCAAATCATTAGAGCTTGTTCCCAATTTTTAAGTGAAGATGGCAAGGATAGAAACTGTCATGACATTTAGGTTCCACTACACATTTTTAGAATGAATAACACTTTTAAAATGTCAACATTCACAGCACATTGGACATGATATTCTTTGCAATTATTTAAACTTACTGATAAAATTCTCAGATGTCAACCTAAGAATATGAGAAGCGTTATGCAAGCTTCCAAATGTCTTTCACAGGTTGCATGATCAGAAAAGAACTGATAACTCTATCATAACCACAGTTGACATTCTATGGGGTGACATTTAGTCTGGGGACACAGGAAACAGACTAAGGTGGGTCTTCACCTAGAAACTCGCTTGTCTTCAGGTATCATGATAGGGCAGCTATCCTTTCTGAAGCCTTTCCTGACTCCTGCCGCTGGAGCTAATCTTGTGCCGGTGACCCTGAGCACTGCACGCCGAGCAGCAATCACACACACCATTATACCACATCACACCTGCTTGTCTGTGTGCAGGCCCGGGTGACTGATTCTAAGCTCCTGGGAGGGAGAAGCAAGTGTTATTTTCTTCTAGCATGGCAGTTGACACATTAAACACAGGAATAGATGCATCAGTGCACATATATTACAGAGATCACACAAAAGAGCTGGAGAAATGTGGGTCAACTAGGTTTTACTCTTTAAAAAGTTAAAGATTAAGATTAAAATTCTAAATACCAGCACGTGTGTTTTTCCTTTTGGACTAAGCCACCAGCATTTGATCTGTACTGGAGGCTTACTCTCCCATCTCCCTAGAAAGTAGAAATTAAGCTCATCTGACACATCTCTGGGAGGGTCTTTTCTCTCATTTCATTCCTCCAGCTATCTTCTTCCTCCTTGTTTCCAAGTACATGGCCTTCTCTGGCCCTTCCCAGGGTTAGGCTGTCTCACTTCAGTTATCTGAAATATACTATACTCTTCAAAACTTTGTGAAGCTTCTTAACCAGTAGACACGGGTGCATTTGTAATGTCAGGTCAGTATTTCTACCTTTATCTTCCAATTCTTAATATCAATAATTCTCTCTTCAACCTAAGAGAATCAGGACTTTCTGGACACCTCCTCGTTTCATTTCATTCCATTCTTCTTTCTGGTTTAGTCAGCTACCATGGCAAGGTTCTATTTAGGCTATTACTTGTACATGTTATTCCTATCTTTGAAGAAAGGTAACAAAGACTTCCTGACTGACTCTGCCATGATATATCTTCCTTCCACATGTGCCACAGTCTTTCACAGTGACAATCTTACCTACAGTAATGGTCACAGCCTCTCTTATACTGTCTTCCAACTGTTTTTCAAAGCTCTTTGGGAATAGGAACTATGGTCACACTCAACATTTTTATTCCGAGGTGTCCAAGTATTCCTTAAAACCTGCAATCTAACCACAAGTAGTATGTTTTCACATCTCACCTGAGACCACTCCATGGCGACCCACTTGGGACAATCGAACAGATTGCAAGTTTGCATGACCTTGGGCTTAGGTGCGTACATACACTTCCATTCCGCCACCTGCAGGATCTCGGCATGCATGGACTCCTCCACACACACAAAGCTCCGCCTCTGGATCCCTCCTCCACAGGACACAGAACATGCGGTCCATGGGTTATGTTCCCAGCTCAAAAGCAAACAAAAACATACGTTATTTATTTGTTGTTTGTTGATTTCAAATTTGCAATGGTGGTTGCTAAAAGTATGGCCTCATGGTATCAGCTGTGGTCCAGTTAAAAGCACATGAGACCTGGAGTCCTAAGGCTCTTACCTGTCACATACCGTCTACAGTCCCGAAAATTTAACTCCCTGAACATGAGGTTTCTGGTAAATGGGATAATACTCCTCCCCTAGTTACCCAAGAGGGCCATTGTGAAATTAAACTAATTAAAAGATAATAGGTAAAGATCTTTAATCTATTTCTCAACTACAAAATACCACGTGATCATACTGCTAGAGACATAATCATAGAAAGTCAAAAAAGACCATATTAGTGATCTACATGTCAAGTGGCTGATCAATTACAATGCTTCACTTCCTTTCATGATACCTTCCATCTGAGATACTGAGATGACCTTATCTCTCCAATGACTAAAAACATCACCTTTTGAGGCAGCCTATTCTGCTCAATTCTTAAAAAGATTCTTCTAATTAGTGAGTTGTAGTCTGTTTTCCCTTAGCTCATACACTGCCTAATGCCCATCCCGATGCACTGCAGGCTTCCACGAGGGCCTACACAGGCTTGCACGCTACCTCGAGTAAATGAGGAAAAGTAAACACATAACTCACCGAGGGAGAGGTTGGAAGTGATCATAAGGCATAATCTCCTTAAATCCATCACTACAAATAAAACCATTGTGAGAATATCACTTTCAAGTTATCTTACACATTTAATAATGACATCTGAAGATAGAGCTCTTTCAAATTAAACACTAAACACACCAAGTGTTACCATTTCCAAAAATGTGGCTACCCTTTAATCTTTAGAACAACTGTCACAAAGGATTCCTCATTGTATATAAAAAATACAGACTATTGAATTGGTGATATGATAATCTAAGAGAAACATACCGCTCTTAATTTAGATAAATTGATTTAGTCCTTTTTATCATCATTATGAAAAAATACAGTAATGGTATTAACAGGTCTTCAAGAGATTGAACAAAACAGTAAAGAACAAAACCAAAACATTGGAGACATTACAGGTCTTCAAGAGAAGATAATAGTCAACCAGAATGGGCATCACAATGAATCCCACTATCTTCACAGCTCAACACTTTCACCTTAGCCAGAAAGTAGTGGGGATTCTGGGACTTGATGTTGTGCTGTTATTTTAAGATATTGCCCCCAAATCCAGGGAACCTCCCCAGGCAATCCAAGCAGGTAATCAATTACTCAACTTCTCAGTTTATATATAGTATGATGCATTTTTTATACCAAATTCAATGTGACACTTCAAAAGGCAAATGTGGTAATGGTGACCCAGTTTTTAGTGCATGTTTTCAATACACAATAAATACAATCATTGTGGAGAGTTGTGCAGAGATAGATATAGATATAGTATAGATATAGATACAGATACAGATACAGATACAGATACAGATACAGATACAGATACAGATATAGATATAGAGATAGAGATAGAGGTATTCTTAATCCTCTTTAGTTTCCCTTCCTTTCCATGCTCCAGATTCCCTTTCTCATCTCCAAAATATCTACCTTCCTATTTTCTATTACTTATTTTGTTATATTTTTGTTTATACTTTGGGTTTCTCATACAAGAAAAACCATGTGATATTTAAACTGTGTTTGATTTATTCCACTTAGAAAGGTGCACTTTCCTATAAATGACTCAAACTTATTTTTTGTGGCTGAGGAATATTCAATTACGCATAAATACTTCATGGTCTTTATCCTTTCATCTGTTGATGAATATGTAGACCATTTCCAAGACTTAGCTATGGTGAGCTGTACTGCTATAAACATGGGTATGTAATCCCACACTCAGAAGGCTGAGGCAGGAGGATCACTGCAAGTCTGAGACCAGCCTGGGGTACAAAGTGAGCTCAAGGCCATTCTGAGTTGCATAGTGAGACCCTGTCATAAGGACAGACAAAAAAATTCACGGACACACAATCTCACAGCAAGAAGAGAGTGCTGGCCAGAGTGCTGGAATTTGCAAAGACATCTTAATTCCTACTGATCAAGGTTATGCATGTGAACACGAGCTCCTGCTAGTTGTGCAGAGCCAGAGTCAGGAGGTGGACATGTACTATTCCACAAGAACTGATCACTCTCAGTTGTAATTGATTTGCTTCTTTGAAAATAAAATTTGTACAAACCTCGATGGGCAGGGGTCCATGCCACACTCCTTCAGTTTGGGCTTGGGTTTTACATTTTCAGGGTAGTAATGACAATAATGGTCAGGCACTACCCTCTTCAAGCGGATATCCACACATTCAGCAGAATTAAGCTGATAACCTGCAGGGACAGAAGAGGAAAAGTCTGAACACTATTTGTTTCCTATTTGCCTGGCAAAGTTATCACTTGCCACACATTTTCTTTCCCTTTCTCATCTCTTTCCTTTCTTTTTCAGTACTGGGAATGGAACCCAAAGCCTTTGCACCAAGCTACATGCCTAATCCTTTTTAATTTTATATTTTAAACAAGGTCTTTCCAAGTTACTCAGGCTCAAACTTGTAATCCACCTGCCTCAGCCTCCCAGAATGTTGGGATTTCAGTCATGCACCACCATGCCTGGCTCATGCATTTTTTTTTCCTCGTTAAAAAACACAGATTGGGGCTAAGGATTTAGTTCAGCAGCATAAGCACCTGCCTTGCAAGCAGGCGGTCGTGAGTTCGATCCCTGGTACCAATTCAAAAAAAAAAGAAACACAGCTCAGTGGTTTCCAGGTTTGGCCATGTAACAGATCCACAGGGTTTCTATGGCAGTGACACATCAACACTCAGGTTCCTTCCTTCCTGCGTCACTTAAGTCAGAACACTGCAACCAGGGTCCAAGAAGTCAGTATGTTTTAAAAAGATGCTTGGGTGTTTCTAAGATGACTAAAGTATGTGGCCAAGACTACGAACAACTGCTTTAAGAGGCTGTGGTTCTCTTAGCACTGGTGATAAGCACATTACCATGCACCTCCTTTAAGAATTTCCTAGACCTCAGGTGTAGCTGGGATGTGTCCTCAGTTCTCTGTGTGGTTTCCTCACTGCCATCAGGGCCCTGTGCACGGTCTTCCTATCTTTCTCCTTGTATTACCCTTTCTTTCCCCATAGCTGCTTCCATCTTTCTTCTCCTCCTCTACAAGATGCTGTTTAATTATTTATATGTCCTTAAACATGCAACTGTCTAGAACCTTGTATATGCATCTGTTTTTAACTTAACATGTTTTACAACTTATTTTAGTCTCTCTGTCTCTCTCTCTCTCTGTCTTTCTCTGTCTCTGTCTGTCTCTGTATCTGTCTCTCTGTCTCTCTCTCCTGCTCAGCATTGTACCTTTGAGAGATATTTCTGCACTGAGGTAAATACGCCTTTTATAGTAGCACACTGTATCTTCTGTTAGATTTTGCTCACCCGGCCCTGAAGGTACCAGATCTTTCCAACACTAACACACTTTGCAACTGGGAATTAAGAATTATCAGATGGGAGGTAACAGAAGGATTGCCTCATAGCTGTCCAAATGGAAGAAATAAACTTATTCCTGACTCAAAACCAATCTGTATAGTATTTAAGGAAAGTGAGTATTCCAAGATGAATGCTATAATTTGAAAAAAAAAACAACCAAAAAAATGGCACTTTCCCAAAAGATCTGACTCTAGATTTTCTATCACTATATAAATGTCATGTCAACTTAATGTCTTTAAAACTAAGATCTCAGTCTCCACCAATTGGTCTAAAAATACATTTAAAGTTCTGATTGCTAAAAGGAACCTTATTTTATAAACCAGTAGCAGTTCCATTCCAGATATGGCCCTGGAGTAGGTTTAGTTTAGAGGACAGGCTGGTGTGTGTTATGAAAAGCAAGATCAAAACCACAAGAATGAAAATCCAGCTCGAGTCAATAAAACCTTCCTCGGGTGCCAGTGTCTGCCTGAAAGCCACAGTATCAGATGGCAAGGGTGGTACTGGTCCTTGCCCCAGACAGATCTCAAGTGCTCCATAAAGACAATGAATTACAGACAAACAAGCAGGCTGACTCCAAGTCTCCCTGATACCTTGCAGACCAGAGAACTAATTTTCTTGATTATCCAAAAATGTCTGAAATGGCATTCACATAAATTAGGTAGATTTGATTACTAATATAATTACATGCGGGAAACATTTTCCTTGTGAGTTTTAGGCTTGTGTTTTTATTTCCTGCTCAAACAAGTACAGAATAAGATTACAGCTCCTTGAGTCAGAGAAAATCTTCATCTTAAGTGGAAACATACTTCTAAAAGGAGGAAGGGTAGATACAAGTGTTTATAATTTGGGGGCAAGAATCTGTATTTTTCTTTAATTTTATTGCAGTTTAGAGAAAATGTCAAGCACAGAAAGAAGGCAGATTGCCTTACAATACTGTGAACAAATGTTCTGAACTTGCATCAGTGTGTGGGAAAGAGGCCTTGAGGCAGCCCCGTAGCGCTGAGTTCTCAGATGCTCCACTGTACATGGCACCCTCTAGCACTTGGTTGCGCATACGCATCTGTGATTCCAGTAGGACCGGGTGCTGGATACCTAAGTAGGACAAACATGTGTTTCCTCCTAAGAATGGAATCAACTGCAAGAAGCTGAATCCTACTACAAAAAATCCCTCCTGGATTCAAGAGCTTCTCTTCTGCCTTATGGGTCCTAATGGGAACGTCCATCTGAATAACTGTGCGTGAGAGCTAGGGATACATTAAAAACAGATGTATGGCCATTTCTCCAGAGTAAAAAAGCCTCCCTTCCATTTCCGTTGGGGCCCATGAGAGACAGCTGTCTTCCCTGGGACTGTGGCCCACCTGCCTCTGAATCGATGGAAGTCAGCTTCTATGTATCACACTCAGGTCTGCCCACCTGCTCTGGATGCTCCCTGAATGCTCTCTGCTCCCTGTGACCACTCGGTTGAGTGTATGGCATCACTCATGGCCAATGGGGGCGTTAAGGCTTCAGGGACAGCCCGTGCATTGCATCCTTTGCAGAGGCATTGTGCACATTTAGGGTTAGGTTCTGATACAAAAATCATCTCCCATGTGCTTTTTAAGTACCACGCATTGAGCTATCTTCGTGAACACAAGTCATCTCATTTTATCCCACAGAGGAGAAACTGAGGCTAAGAAGCCATAGGACTAATTAGATCCTGGTAGTGTCTGAGGTGCCAAGTGCTCCCCACAAAATTGCTGGCTTTCTTCTTTTAGATGAAGCTTAAATCTCTGAATTTGAGACCTGACCTGCATATTCCTGGGAACCTGACCTCAACTGAGGAGCTTCCTTGACATAACTGCAGTTCAGGACAAAAGCTGATGATCTGAGACAGCATACACCATGTAATTTTGGAGAGAAGAAGCTATCTAGGCTAGGCCTGCCTGGGCTGATGGAGGATGACTTATTGTAGTTCTCCACATATAACTGTCCCTGCATTTTGTGCCCTGACCTGGCTCGAGGGGCAGCAGGTGGTTCTGGGGACTTTCAGGGGCAGTTATTGAAGCACGATGCTGGCATCCAATAGATGGGGGTCCTTCTCGTCTTGGGCACCAGTCCAACTACCATGAGTAACTTTGGTACCTTTCTAAAGTTCAAGTTTGCTCATGCATAAAACTGGGTAACAAGATAGGGAATAACACAAAGTAGACTGCTGTTAAGTTTGTGAAGAACAAATGCAATGGTCTTACCTGGCACAGAGTTTGATATGTCCTATGTGCCTAGGGATCTCAACAAGCATCAGTCTGTATTCCTGCAGTTCCTCATAACTAATGCTTCTTAGGTTGCAATCACAACCATTTACTCCTCCATTTCAAAATTCAGTTCAGTTTGAGAAAACCTAAGTTATTTTAACCATGTCTATGATGGTCTCACTTGCTCCAGGAGGTCACCATTTTTCTGCACTAAGGGGAAAATTATCTACTGAAAAGATTTCTTGTAGCATGTGTGGAGCTCTGGGTCACACTTGCCACTAAATCTGCAATGATCTATGAAAACATTGCATTAAGCAGACCGAAAGCAGGTCTTTGCTTTTGTCACTCAGTGGGGAATCTTTTTCTCTTTAGTAAGTTTACATTCTCATACAGGAGGAGACAGAGGTGGAGCTCTCAATGTTAGGACCAACAAAGACACTAATTTGAGACACTGAAGCAAGTCATTTGATCACTCTGCTTCTCAGGTTTTCAATAGAAAATTATCCTTTCTATCCTTTTTTCTGTTTTGCTTTTTAAAGTTATATATATATATTTAAGGATACCTGAGAAGAAAACACATGCAAACATGTTACGAGTTTTGGACTAAAAGTAAAAAGTGTTTTCCAAGTTCAGTTTTCCATTGACTTCAGGAATAAAGGCAAATGCACATTCATTAATACTTCTGTATTACAGGCTTCTGAGAAAGGTACCCTGTGGTTAACATTTTTGATTGTTTTTTACAATACGGGAGATTGAACCATGGACCTTACCCCTGAGTACATCCTCAATCCTTTTCAAACTTATTAAATTTTGAAATTGAGTCCTGTTAAATTGGTAAGGTGCACTGGCTGGATTCAAATTTGCACTCTTCCTGCCTCAGCCTCTTAGAGTACTGGGATTACAGGCACACCACCATGCCCAAAGACCATACCTATTTTCAAGTGCATTTCAAAAATGCACATGTAATTTCTAATTCGGAGGTCAAAATATTCATGAATAAAGTCTGTGCCTCACCTCCTCCACATGTCACAGTGCAGGGAAAGAAGTCAGTTTGTCTCCACTGGTGACTGATGGGTTGGTAAAAGAAGAACTGGACCACGCTGTCTTTGGCCACTGTGTACCTGGTCTGGACAGAGAGAACCATGACACACATCTGCATAAGGTGGGAGCAGGTGCCATCCACATTCCACACCCCACCTTCTGGAACACAGTCAATATTCTCCCTATATGCAACCCCCACCTGTCACAACACCTCACTGCAACACAGCAGCATGCCAAGGGTTTCAAGACATGATAGCATTTTACTTAGACTTGACAAAAATAAGGGATTAGTGGACCTTCAGCAAATGCCCCTGGGGTCATTTTTTCAGGTAATTCCATGCCTGCGAATGCATTTATAAAAATGAATGTGGATGTTTTTGTTCATTTATTCAACATTTTTTTCTTCCTGAAACATTTGATTTTAATTTCCAAGGGAACGGAGATTGAGACCTAATCAGGCTTTGCTCACCACAGTGCACATACTTGGAATTCTTAGATTTTTCAGTAATAACATCTTTAATCACCTCTTCCTGAAAATCCTTTGAGATGCACACATGTGCAAACCCACTCTAGAGCACAGAAATACACAGAGACCACACATGGACAGTCCAAAAGGTTGGGTGCTGCTTAGAGCAAATCAAAACTGCAGACAGTGGCAGGTTCTTTCCACACTTTTCTCTTTTCTCCCTATTGATTAAAGATATGCATGAATTATCAAAAACTTCCAGGATATGGCACAAAGTGGAGAGAAAAAAACAAAAGTCAAGCTCTCAGAGCACAGATCCAAAACTGCCAACACACATGTGGAGCTCAAGACTGAATATGTGAAAATCCCCACGGAAGCAGTTCTGATTGTTTTCTTCACCGACAAATAGTAAGAACATGCACTAATGGACACATTGCTTAGATCAATTTAGCTGCTCCTCAGTGTATACTTCCAAACTTCATGTTGTACACCAAAAATATATATGATTTTCATCTGTCAATTTAAAAAATGTCTTAAAAGACCACTGACTATTGGTTCTGCCTATCCAAGAACAGGAGATATCCTTCCTTCTTCTGATATGCTCTTCAATCTCTTTTTTCAGAATACTGTAGTTTTTGCTTTGAGGTCTTTCATTTCCTTGGTTAGGTTGAACCCTAAGTATTTTATTTTACTTGATGCTATTATGAAAGGTATTGTTTCCCTAACCATAATTCAACTCTCCTGATTTTGTTATTGATATAAGGGAACATTATTGATTTTTTGAGTGTTGACTTTGTATCCCGCTATGCTACTGAATTTTGTTATGAATTCTAGGAGTCTTTTGGTGGAATTTTTGGGGTCTTCTGTGTAGAAGATCATTTATCTGCAAATAAGGAAAATTTAACTTCTTCCTTTCATATAAATATTCCTTTTATTTACTTCTCTTGCCTGATTGCTCTATCTAAAGTTTAAAAATATATTGAACAAGGGTAGTGACAGAAGGTATCTTTGGCTTGTTCCTTATTTTAGAGGGAAAGTGTTCAGATTCTCTCCATTTAATATGACATTGGCTGGTGGTTTGTCATAGATGGCTTTTATCAGCTGGAGATAAGGACCTTCTATTCATATTTTCTTTGGGATTTTATCACTAATAAATGTTGAATTTTGTTGAATGATTTTTCTGCACCTACTGAGATGATCATGTGATTTTTGTACTTGTTTCTGTTTATGTTGTTCATATTACGCTTACCGATTTGCATATGTTTAACCATTCCTGCATCCCTGAGATGAAGCCTACTTGATGATGTGTTGTATTCTGTTTGCCAATATCTCATTGAGAAATTTTTTATCCACATTCATGGAAGAGATCAACCTGTAGTTCTCTTTTGAGTTAGGGTTCTTTTCTGGTTTTAGAATCAAGGCAATATTTGCTTCCAGAAATTTTTTTAGGACTAGTACTTCCTTTGCAGTGTCATTAAAGAGTTTGAAGAGTATTGGGGGATTAGATTCTCTCTAAAGTTCTTGTAGAATTTGGCAGTGAATTCATCAGCCTTTCCTTAGTTGCCCTAGTTTTTTAATTACTTCTTTGGTTTCACTGACTGACAACGAATTATTCAAGATTTTTATATCTTCTTGGTTTAGCTTTCATAGTTCATGTATGTCAAGGAATTTATCCATTTCTTCTGAATTTTTCATTTTATTTGAGAACAGATTCTCAAAGTAGTCTCCTGTGATCTGGATTTCAGCAGAATCCATTATGATTTCACTTTTCTCTCCTTGTTTTGATAAGACTGGCTAAGGTTTGATCATTTAGTTTAATCTTACAAAGAAACAACATTTTGATTCATCGATTATTTGTATTTTTTCTTTAGTCTCAATTTCATTTATTTTTGCTTTGATCTTTACAATCTCCTTTATCATGCTAGCTTTGAGTTCTGTTGTTCTTGTTTTTTCTAGGATCTTAAGATGCATAAAAAGGATATTTATTTGACTTTGCTGTTTTTCTGATGTGGGCATTCACAGCTATAAACATCCTTCTTAGAACTGCTTTCACTGTGTCCCATAGGTTGTAGTCTGTGGTATTGTCATTATCATTTGATTGTAGGAACTGATTTCTTCTGAGATCCACTGATTATTCAAGAGGGTATTATTTAATTTCCATGTGTTTGCAGAATTTTTGTGATTTCTTTTGCTGTTGATTTTTAGTTTCATTACACAATGAACTGATAATATGCATGTGATAATTTGGATTATTTTGTATTTACTTAAGTGTGCTTTATTGGATAGTTCGTGGTCTGTTTTGGAAACAGTCCCATGTGCTTATAAGACTGTCACAGACATTTAATGCCATTCCAACATCATTCTTCACAGAAATGGAGAAAAAACATCCTAAAATTTATATTAAAACATAAAAGACCAAAGATAGCATATGCAATCCTGAGTAAAAAGAGCAAAGTGAGGGCCATCACCATTCCAGACCTGAAGTTATATTACAAAGCTATTGTAATAAAACAGCATCATACTGACACAAAAATATACATAAGGATCAATGGAACAGAATATATGATGCAGAAACAACCTCAGGCACTTTCACCTTTGACAAAAGGGCCAAAAAAAAAAACAAACCACATACTGGAGGAAAGATAGCCTTTTAAATAAATGGTGTTGAGAAAATTGGCTACTCATATCCTGAAGATTGAATCTAGATCCATATCTCCCACAGTATAGTAAACAAAAATCAAAATGGATCATACATCTAAAGACTAAAATAGAAGCAATCTACTGGAAAACAGTATAGGTAAAATTCTTAGACAAGGACAGAATCTCAGTTGCACAAGAAATAATATCAATAATCAAGAAATAGGATTATATCAAGCTAAAATACTTCTGCATAGCAGAAGAAACCAGAGCGATGAGACAACTCATAGGATGGGGGAAAAGTTCTTGCCAACTACTCATAAGACAAAGTATTAATACCTAAAACATATTTTAAAAATTCAAAAAAAAAATAAGACCCCTGAAATTTAGAGACTCAACTCAAAAATGAGCATGTGAAATGAACAAACACTTCTCAGATGAAAAAGTGCAGTCAGCAAATACATAAAAACATTCAACATCACTGGGCATTTAAAATGCAAATTAAAACAACACTGAAATTTTATTTCACTCTAGAAGGAATAGCTATATTCAAGAAATCAAATTTTCACAAACTTGGGAAAGACTATGGGGAAACAAGAGCCCTTCTTCATTGTTGGTGGGAATGCAAACTAGTACAACCAATACAGAACTCAGTATGGAGACTCCTGAAAAAAACTAAAACTAGAAATTCCATTTGACCCAGTTATTCCACTTTTAGGTATCTTCCCGAAAGAGTTAAAGACATCATACCACAGTGATCTATGTACCCATAAGCAGGCCAATTCATGTAATCTAAATCCTTGAAACAGCCTAAATGTCCACCAATAGATGAACGGATAAAGAAAATGTGGTATGTACACACAGTCTAGTACTGCTCTGCCATGAAAGGATAAATTTTGTAGGAAAATTGATGGACTTTGAGACCATAGTGTTAAGTAAATCAGACACAAAACTTAAATACTGCAAGTTTCTCTTATATGAAAATCCCAATGCATAAATAAAATAAAGAATTAGACAGTAGGAAATAGTGAAATGGTTCTTTGCCATATGAGAAGGGAGCTGAAAGTTTGAGCAAGAGAGGAGGGAGAGGAGAGGGTCAAGAGGAAGAGATTAATAAAATAGATGGGGATTGTGAAGTGCTGTGCATGTGCACCAAGTTCCCATGAAGAATGCGATCATCATGTACCATGGGCATGTATTTATAAAAATAAAGATCAGGATATTTGAAAAATCTGAGAAATGTCATTGGATATAAATACCAAAAAACAAAGTAAAAATGACTGTGATATTAAGAATCTCTTTTGACATGAGAAAATATCCTGTGAAAATGTATGTATGTGTGTATAAAATATTTCATTTTAGAGTAAAATTTTAAAAACTATCAATGAATCTGCCACACTATTTCTGACAAAATATGGAGATAACAGAATAATGAGGTGACAGCATTTGATTATGGAATTAGTGAGAATTTCCTAGACATTCAGAAAAGTATGAATCTTCTAAGAATACTCAAAGAGTATTGAGTAGACATTTAGAAAATATAACAAGAATTTTTTAAAACCTAGATGTTAACAAGAAAGCAAAATGATTACCTGAAAAGGGGTGAAAACCAGATTTACATTAGAGTTTCCATAAGCGACTCTGGATACCAAAAAGCAAAAACACATCTTCAAAGTTAGGAGGTAGAAGAATTTTGGACCCAGAATTCTATAATCAAATTATTAACCAGTAATCAGTGACTATTAATCTGTCATCAATCTGTCATCAAATGATCAATCATTAATCAGTGAACTGAAGACATGTTCACACATCCAGTAACTGTGGAATCTTATCACTCAGGCACTCCCTGGAAAAGACATGGAAAAACTACTACAGAATGTACTGGAGAAGAACTGATATAATTACAGAAGTAAGTTGTGAGATATAAGAGGCGATAATGTGAAATCAATCAGTAATCTTATGAGTGAATTTAAACAAAAGTT